TATCTTTTTTGGCATAATTAAGAAAAACAGCTATTCATGGTGAGCAAGGGATGGTTATTAATTGGTTTAGGTGCTGTATTTAATACTTGTTTTTGACAGGAGGGGTTTAATCAGACATGAGTGTATTTTGCTATTTTAAAATAACCTTTAAGTATGCTATTGCTTTGGTAATTTCATTTTAACATCTTAAATATGCTGTATTTATACTTCAGGCCTGCATTTGTTTTACACGTGTTATTAACTTTGGTTTTAAAGGTTGCCAACCATGCAAGAGGAGGACTTGGGAGAAAGCAGAGGTCCTTGCAGTTGAAAAGCACTTGATGCCATTTGTCAACACCTGTTGAGTTCCAGGGAAGGCCGACTGTGAGAAGTGTCTAAAACAGGAACGTGTTGCACTCAAACACCGAAATTGGCTGGCTATAAAGTATAATGTAAAGAATCGCATAACAGCCCTCAAAATCAAAGCTTAAAAACTTTTAATTTTACACTGTTTTAAGTACTTTGTTACTGAGTCATGTTATAGACATTTCAGTTTGCCTTTGTCTTTTTTTTAAGTAAAGCCAATATGATTTCATTTAGTGTTGGCATTGTTACCTTTTTTACTGACAGTAATTTCAGTTTGTACTTTTTAAGTTTGTTAACATATAAAGGGAAACAAAACATGCAATCAAGAGTCCTGTTAAGCAATAACCATTCATTCTGCAGCATGTTTTATACACCCTTAGTCGGTCATTTAGTACATAGAAGCAAAATAAAAATTACCATTCATCCATTTTCAGATCCATAAAAAGTACGTAGTAATATTTAATCTGAGTCTCTTCAGTTGTTGCTGATGGCTGTGGGCAGGAAGGATTTCCTATACAGGCGCTGGTCATAAAATTAGATTGTCATGAATAAGTTAATTTATTTCAGTAATTCCATTCAAGAAGTGTAATGTATATTATAATCATTCATTACACACAGACATGTATTTCAAATGTTTATTTTAATGTTGATGATTGTAACTGACAACTAATGAAAACCCCAAATTCAGTATCTCAGAAAATTAGAATATAACTTAAGACCAATAAAAAAGATATTTAGAAATGTTGGCCAACTGAAAAGTATGAACATGAAAAGTATGAGCATGTACATCACTCAATACTTAGTTGGGGCTCCTTTTGTCTGGATTACTGCAGCAATGCAGCATGGCATGGAGTCCATCAGTCTGTGGTACTGCTCAGGTGTTATGAGAGCCCAGGTTGCTCTGATAGTGGCCTTCAGCTCTTCTGAATTGTTGGGTCTGGTGTATCACATATTTGCACAATACCCCATAGATTTTCTATGAGGTTAAGGTCAGGTGAGTTTGCTGACCCATTAAGAACAAGCATGGTCCTTAAACCAGGTACTGATAGCTTTGGCACTTTGTGCAGGTGCCTAGTCCTTTTGGAAAATGAAATCTGCATCTCCATAAAGTCGTTCAGCAACAGGAAGCACGAAGTACTCTAAAACTTCCTGGTAGGCGGCTGTGTTGACCTTGGACCTCAGAAAACACAGTTGACCAACACTTGACATGGCCCCCAAACCATCACTGACTGTGGAAACTTGACACTGGACCTCAAGCAATGTGGATTCTGTGCCTCTCCTCTCTTCCTCCAGACTCTGGGACCTTGATTTCCAAAAGAAATGCAAAATTTACTTTCATCAGAGAACATACCTTTGGACCACTCAGCAGCAGTCCCAGGCAAGACGCTTCTGACACTGTCTCTTGTTCAAGAGTGGCTTGAATCAAGGAATTTGAAAGCTGAAACCCTTGTCTTGCATACGTCTGTGTGGTTTTGAAGCACTGACTCCAGCTGAAGTCCACTCTTTGTAAATCTCCCCCCACATTTTGGAATGGGTTTTACAATCCTCTCCAGGGTGTAGTTATCCGTATTGCTTGCACACTTTTTTCTACCACATCTTTCCCTTCTCCTCTCTATTAATGTGCTTGGACACAGAGCTCTGTGAACAACCAGCCTCTTTAGCAATTAACTTTTGTGTCTTGTCCTCCTTGTGCAAGGTGCCAATGGTCATCTTTTGGACAACTGTCAAGTCAGCATCTAAAAAAGTTAAATCTGGTCCTCTGGACATTAAAAAAAAGTAGAAATGTTTCATCTTTCATCCGAAAGACTTCTTCAGTCTGAAGTGCTGTATTCAGTTTAGTCTTATAAATAGCACCTTATCATAGTGGAACAACCAGTTTGCTGCTGACAACCAAAACCATCTGCTCACATGATCAAGAAGGACCATCAGCCTAACGATGGATCATTAGCATACTGATGACTGTTTACTATTCACATGGCTGAGTGATACTAGCAATAACAGCATTGTAAGAGGGGGACAGTTTTACACAAAAGCCTCCACCACTGTTTAATGATGGACGATTTATTTTCACAAAGATGGCCTCCTTTACTCCTCTCTCAAAAAAAGGTCCACTAAAGGCTCTTTTTTTGTTTATCAGTTCATTAAAGTTACTGGTGATCCATGAAAAATCAATTGAATTGAAAAATCCAAGCAGATGTGTATTTAGTCTGTCCCGTACTCGTTCGTGACATTGATGACCTCAGAGTGCATCTCTGCCGTTGCCTTCAAAACAATTATGCAGTGCTTCTTGAGCTGCCTGTGACAATCTTCTCAAAGTTCTTATCACTACAGGTTGTTCCAAACAAGAGATTTATAGTACAACCAGAGGAACACAATATTGTGATCTGATTTGCAAGGATGTGGTTTTGCTGCATAAATGTATGCATAATTTTAAAACCTTTATGTAACCCCTTTAAAAGAATAAATTAGAATCAATTTAACAAAACTGTTCAAACACACTAGTATTGAGCCACCTTGAGTGGCTCAATACTAGAACGTAACATACCTTGAGAGGCCATTCTATGTGTTTTTATTTATTCCAAAGTATGTAGTTCATTGTGCAGTGAACCATGGTGGCTGTATACACACTTTGAACCTGAAACTGCTACTGATACCAACAATGGAATAGAGACTAATTAGTGTGTATTAGGGGTGTAACGGTACGCTAAAATCACATTTTAGTTCGGTTCAGTTTCAGGGAGGGCTCGGTTCGGTTCATTTTCCATACAAAAAGGCCAAAATGAAAACTTACAAAATTGTTTATTTTGAAAATATGCCAAGTTAACAATACATTTGTATAAAAATAAATAAAAACTACTCATTTGGATGATATTTTAAATAAAAGGCACTCTTTACAATAAATAAACTATAATAACAGTAATAAAAATCTTAATAAATATAACAGTCAGAACCAGACCAATAAGCAGCAATAGACTGTTTACAATCTAACTAATCAAGTTTTAAGTTTTTGGCCAAAAAGACCAACTTGTCCACATTTTCTGCCAAAAGCACAGATCTAGTTGCAGTGAATGTCTCCAACAGTGGAGATAATCATTCACTAACAGGTGGCAAGAATAAAGAAGTAGCACTTTGCTAATTTTGTAATGTGGTTGTATTTGACCTCATTACTCACAACCTCTTGGACCTGCTCTCACCTGTTCCTGGAAAAGTTCAGAGTTCAGTCATCACAGACTTCTTAGCTGGAGGTAAGCTCTGGTGGATTGTCCTAAAAGGAAGAAAACTCTGCTGCTATCTCTGTCCCAGACTGGAAGTAAAACATAAATGGGTAAAAAAAAAAGTTAATAAGATTATAATTTAAAAAAAAGAAAAATTATTTAGATAATAATAATAAAATAACAATACTTCTTCTTGAACGGTCATCATTTCTGTTATGAGGTGGTTGAATCTCTCGGTCATCATCATCATGTGACAGGACTTTAATCTGGTCAAGGACTTGTTGACAATATCAGTTTTAGCTTTTTCATAAAGTGCTGCTACAACTTTTTGGCTGAAGTGTTGACGTGATGGATGTCATAGCGGGGCTCAACAACTTGAACGTCTGTGCATCAACAACAGAAACGTAGTTCCAGAGCTTTAAAAACTTCTATAGCTTGTGTTATTGCTTTGGACCAATCTGAATTACCTGATAAAAGTTGTTTAAATGCTGCTATTATCGCTCTTTGCAACAAGCTGCTATTCTGTAGAAGAGACGTTCATGTTCGGATGATATCGTTTCAAGAGCGTTGACAAGTTAGACTTGTTGCTGCTGCAGATCCAATCTTGATGAAACAACGTTGACTCACAACTTTGGATTTGTTCACTTGTCTTTTAACAAGAAAGACATAATGTTCCCAAACAGGAGACTGCAATGAGATGCTAGGCTGCTAATGCTGCGCGTGCTGCAAGATAATAGCGCTGTGCTGAAACACGCTTTGGAACTTTAGTTCTGCGGTGCATAATCTCTTGTTAATAAAATGTAATGAGTGTAAAAATAACCGAAACAGTACGCTGGTGAACCAAACCGAACATGCCGTATCGAAACGGTTCAATACACCCACGTGTACCGTTACACCCCTAGTGTGTATGTATTACTCCACTCAGTACTGAAAACCTGACAAGTGTGTATGTATTACCACACTCAGTATGAAAAACCTGACAAGTGTGTATGTATTACTCCACTCAGTACTGAAAACCTGACAAGTGTGTATGTATTACTCCACTCAGTAATGAAAACCTGACAAGTGTGTATGTATTACTCTACTCAGTAATGAAAACCTGAGGGGTGTGCATGTATTACTTCACTCAG